ATATATATATATATATATATATATATATATATACACACACACATTATGTATGTTATATACAAATTTTATACACTTTCGGCTACCGAATGTAAATAGTTTTTGGCGCGGGCTAAAAGTTATAATACCCTTGGCTCTTCTTTTTGATAGTATATGCTCCATTCATCATACCTGGTTTTTGCCCATAGTGAACATAAACTCTTTGGGAAAAGAAAAGGGTAGTCACTGTGTATGCATGGAATGCAAGATGTTGTAATTAGAGAAAGGCAAATGACCTAACACATGTTTCATGTTTCCTAGCAAGGTTTTGATAATATAAAAATATCTCATGCAATTCGTGGTCGTAAGTGAAAACTTAGTGAAAGACTGGTTTTTTCTTGTCAACTATGAATTCATCAGGTTTCACTATGGTCTTAAATATTATGACTAATTAGTATGATAGCAAGCTATTAGAAAGAGACCTAAACCAATTGGACTGCCATTTCTTCCTCAAGCCAAGATACAGAGAGGTCCCTAAACCAATTGGATTGCCATTTCTTCCTCAAGCCAAGATACAGAGAGGTCCCTAAACCAATTAGATTGCCATTTCTTCTTTAAGCCAAGATACAGAGAGGTTTCACTCTGAGCTCAGAGATCATGACAAGTTTGGATATTAGCAAGGTACTCCCTACAGTACTGGAGAGCGCTAGACCTATTAGATTGCCAAGTCTTCCTCTAGCCAAGATACAAAACGATTATGAAATTCCACGACACCCAAAAGGAAACCAGTTATTTAAGAAGCGATCTTCCTAACACATGTTTGATGCCTCCTAACAATAATTTGATGGTCATAATAACATATCTCATCCAATTTGTGGTTTCTTAAGTGGAAATTTAACGAAAGGGTGGACCTCCATGGCTTTGGTCTTGTGGTAAGAGCGCTGTGTATGATGTATGGGTTAGGCGCACATCATGGGTTCAAACCCTGCCATAGACAAAAACCCATTATTTAAGTGGAGAAGAGTAGAGAGGTGGCCCATTATCTACTGAGTTTCGAACCATGTGCTATTGGCCCTCAGAGATTTCCCGGTTATATATAAATGCAAATCCTTAATGAAAGGGTGGTGTTCTCTTGTGAATTCATTAGGTTTCACTCTGAGCTTAGAGATTATGACAAGTTAGAATTTTATCAAGCTATTTTTTTTTAGAAGGAAATTTTTTATCAAGCTATTTTTGGACACCAAAATTTGCATTTAGCATATAAATCTAGTGAACTAGTTTTCAGTGACAGCTAGGATATGAAAGTAAGATTTACTCATTGCCATGGGCAGTACACAGATTTTTAGACCATAAAAAAGGATTAAATATGAATGATACCAAGTATTTTGAACATTACAGATGTTGCATCTTTTAACAGATTCAGTGTGTTTAGATATAAATAGCGAGATTATATGCGTTGTGGAAGTGTAGATAGTAACGTATTAAAGTCACTTGTTCTTGAAAATATATTTTGGAACTATACCTTGATGTGTTCTACAGTTACCATCTCTTTGACCTGTTAACATTTTACGAACATCATTACAATTTTTAATTACTGGGGGGACTCTACTTTGTTAACATGCATATGTTTGTTAGACCCTATTGAGTATACATGTACTGGAGCTACATCCTAAACCTGCTCAATTGCAACTCTTATTGCATAAGACACAATTCTTTTACTCTATCCACTCAATGCAGGATAGTTCAGCCAATTACCCTCTCTATTGCCAGCCCGAAATAACCATTCATGCCACTTTTACAAGCAGTTAGAAGAATTTCTTGAACAGGTAAGTCTATCATATATTAATATATCAGCACTAAGATAGTGCTTGTCAGTTAAATGGTCTAGGTGCGTGCAAGCAGGCCTGGGTACCTCTGTTCTTAAAAGAAAAAAGAAAGATAGTGCTGGTCAAGAAAAAAAGAAGAAGAAGAAGACGGAATATAGCCCTGTACAAGAGAAGCATTCATTTACATAAGTGCTATTCGGTCTGATACTGAACCAATGAACTCTATTGTATCGTCCTCTGCCATGTATATTCTGTAATCTAGGTGCTTTTTTTCGTTCCAAATGGCCCAGCACAAGCAAGCAAGGTGAACTGGTCATATTCCACCGAAAATTTAATAATTCACTCTAGCTCACAGAAAAAAAATTTGAACTACACTATAAAAGGGGCAAAGTAGCTTTTGGAATCAAGCTTGTTGCTAGTTCCGTCTCTGTTTAACTTGTACAACTTTTTAGAGAAGGATATCTATGGGGCTAAGAGATGTTGCAGCATATTTTTGTTTTTTTAAATATAGCAGCATATCTTAGTCTTCTTGCGTCTGTTTCTTTAAAAAATAACCTCGTGTTGCTTCCTGTTTCTCCTGTTGTACAGGTAAGAACTTCAAAACTGGGCAATTTTGTTTTTTCTTGGTCCTGGCTGATGAAATTTGTTGCCATGTGGAGCCTGAAAATCCTGTTAGTAACGAGGACAAGTATTAGGAACATGAAATAGGAGAAGTTCAATAGACCTGTCTTATAGATGACTCCATATTTTCTTGTTATGCAAATTCGATAACATAGGTAGGAAGGACCAAACAACCATAGCTGCTTCTGGGCATTTTAAGTACTTTAGGGTCTTCAACACATTTCCAACTCTTCTTGTACATAGAGAAATAGAATGTAAAAATCATTTTGGATAGTGCAATTCAAAGAAAATCTATGTTTATTATATTCCTTGCTCTGAGATTGCAATTATGATTAACTTTATCAAAGAGACAAATTATATTGATTTTTTCCTGATTGCCATCTATGCTGATGCTAAACTTTCTGAGCCTTCGTTTTTATCTCTTTTTCCCTTTGTTAAAATTTTGCTTTGTGGCGATAATTCGATAATTTCACTTATCCTCCTTGAGATTTTTGGTCTTTCCCTAATTATGTCCTTGTATTGAAAACTTGTCTCACCAAGTAGCATGACTGCATAAGTGCATATACTAAGATTGTTTTGAATAGATGAACGAATAGATAGTGGATGCTCAGTTTAATATCAGACGATAAACAATATTTCGTCTTGTATAGTTGGTTTCCTTCTTTCTTTCTTTTTTTAAAAAAAATTTCATTTGCATACTAATTTGTCAATTTTAAATTATAAAATCTGAAACAACAAAAGTCTGGAAGATTCTGTTGATATCAAAAGTTAGATATGGAAATTTTAGGTGTTTCGTTGTAACGTATATGACAAATATCTTCCATGAGCTACGTATATGTAAATGATAGTGTAGATCAGTCTTTTACAGCTACTTATAGAATCTCAACTGCAAAATACTTCAAATTCAACAATTGGTTGGAGCCTGTAGGTTGTCCCCTTCAACAGATTCATCGAATGGCTGATTCCCAATATCTAATATTGTATGTTTTCGTATAGATTAAAAAGATTAAAACTATCTTATACTATCGACGTGAAAGCATTCCAGGTGCTAAGATTAGATCAAAAGTCTTGTTATCCATATACTATGACCTTTATCAAAAGATTTCATGGGCTGTTCCTAAAAGTGAGAAGTGTATAGGGAACCTAATAGTACTTTACCTAATGGACCATCCTATGAAAGAACCGAACAGCGACCTGACAGACATGTGACCTACCACTGAAATCTAATGGAGCAATTTTTACGGGACAAATTATTTTGAATAGCCACCGTTTTAAAAGTAATCGAAATTTAGCCACTTTTCATGTAAAGATAAATCTGAATGAAAATACTGTCCAAAATTTGAAAAATACTCCAGCATAACTATACTGGAGTTCCAGCATAACTATACTGGAATTCCAGCATAATATACTGGAAGTTCATACACATGTGCTCCAGTCTCCAGTATATTATGCTGGAACTTTCCACGTGTTGGAATCCAGCATAATATGCTGGAAGTTCATACACAAGTGCACCTATCTTCAGTATATTATGATGGACCGGTCCCTATTGCAGCAAAATAGTAGCTTTTTTCCAATGACTTTGCAAACGCTGGCTATTTTTGAATAATCAGCCCGAAAACTGGCTAGCCCGTGCTATTTTTACATTTTTTACCGGAGGTAAAATGGTAGAATGTTCCAATCAACCGAACATTAGAAACAAATCTTAGTCGAACCCAGTTACCACACCCATCCACATATAGTTACTATTATTAGTTACTCCAGTGCCAATCATATTAAGGAAAGTAATGCTGATTGCACATACATTTTTTTACCGACACTATTTATTCTTCAGTGGACGATGGTTCGTACATAATAAGAAGTTAGATATCGTATCTCTTTTTCCTAGGTCATTTGTTATATACCCCAGTTTCTTTTTACTTCTTTTCCTTCACTTTGTAGAAGATCTACAAAGTCAAAGTTAAATTGCTAATCTCATGTCTCTATATAACATAACATTGTCATTTCATATTTAAGAAGTACCGCTTTGCCATTGACCAAATTAAATTTAACTCAAATATGAAGATTTTTAAAGTTACTATCCTATGGCATGTTTGGGAATCCAAATATCCAATACATATATACTGGAGAATATTGTTCATCCTCCAGGATGGATTAAAAGTGAATACAATTTCCATTTTACTTATTTGTCAAGTTCATTGAAAATTTTCTCCCGTTTGACAAGTTCTTTTTTTAATATTTCTTTAATTGTTGTTTGACTTTTCACCCGCTTTAGGGTCTTATTAATCCGGATTCGCACCGAAAGCGCTCCCTACTGTAGCTCTATTCCCTACCAAGATTTGTAATTTACAAATATTGTGAGTATATTTTTTTTTACACTATCAATATATTTTAACACGTCATTGCAGTTAACTTGTCTTATACAATTTCCAAAGTATACTAATTTTACTTTTTATGAATGACAACTTGTAATTAATTTTGAGGTGATCTAACCTAGAATAGTTGTATAGAAGTTAAACTCAATAAAAGAATTAACTCCGGAAAGAAATAATAAAAACAGTTAAAAAAAGATATCCTCACCGAAAGTAGTTGTGAGAACGCTCAATGATTCACTAATAACCTCATAACAAGTGAAAAGTTACAAAAGCCAAGGCCAATGCCCAGGTTGCCTATTACATCACATATATATAGAGCTCTTATTTGCCTATCTCACGTCTTATTCATGTGAGATAACACTAGCTTTTTCCTACTTGCTATAACCTCTCCAAATCAATTTGGTCTTACATGCGAATCCTGCAAATTGACATTCCCAACACACCAAACGTAAGTACATTCGGATAAAGTTAAAAGATTTATTATCTATTACAGTACAAAACTGGGTACGAATTTTCAAACTGGCAAGTCTCATGAATTAGAGAGACAACATGTTCAATTTTTTCATTAAAAATTAGTCTTACCTTACCATTCACAGTCTATTTGGGCAAGCTTGAAAATCGACTCAAATAAGTGGTCTTTACAAAATAAAGAACATTATTTCTAGTCAACGATATTAAGAGATTTTTCTAGAAATTTTCAGAAAATAATTTAAAACTTACTTTTCGAGACAAAGTGAATAATAACTATATACGGACAGTGCAAAAATATTTTTATATATCATATCACCAAAACAATAACTAAAGTAACTGTTTATAGAAAGTGAGATTAGTAAAAAATAAGGTATTTTACCTTGTAAAAATTTTAGTGTAATGCACATGACTTAAACTCTTTTGAAAGAAGATTATACTCACGTTTCACAGTTGGTGTTCATGGAGACAGGGAAGCCAACTTTGATTGTACAAGCAGTGGGAAGTTGGCTAAGGAACTTGTCTTGTACCCCAGCAAAGTTCGTCACACCAGCTTTAAGGCATCTGCAAATATCCTTCTTATCATCCACAGACTTCACGCTTCGTGCCAACTGTTGCAGTCCACTGCAACATGGCGCCGACGGCTTTGCATCCTTCCCTGTGGTAAAGGAGATGCAGGCTGCGGCCTTCATGTCTACAGTGCCACAGGGAATGACTGCTTCATTGATATGAGCAAGAACAAAGAGGACAGAAAGGCACAGAGCAACTGAGTACAAAAGGTTCTTCATGGTTTGTTTGGAAAATGTGTTTGGAAAAATGGAGTGGTGATTGTAATGTACTAAGAGAAGTTTGGATTTATAGCTGTTTGGTTTGCTCTTGGAAGTCAGTGGGAGAAGATTTTATATATAGAAGGAGAAGTTTTATTTTGTGTCTCACACTAGTTGTATGAGACTCTTTTTTGTCTTACAAATTTATGAACCCCAATCTCACACTTCTGGGTCCATAGAAATCTGGGTCCACAAAATTGTGAAATAAAAAAGTTATCTCATACAACTAGCGTGAACTTTTGAGACACGGAATAAAATTTTCTATATAAAAGAGAGAATGGAGCAATTGGTTCTTGCGAGTTGGGAATGAGCTTCCCAAAAAGGTTTGTTGATTGAGCTTTGCAGGAGTTATTTTCTTGGATTGTTAACTTTTGTACTTTAAGGGAAATTCATGTTATCAGTCTTTTCTTGGATTGCCCACCATACAGTACTCCCCCAAATTTAATTTATTGTCACGATCCAAAATCTAATAAATCGTAATGATATCTAACTCAGTCGTTGGATAAGTCAGATAATAGTCAATACAACTATAATGAAGTAAGAAGGGATCAATAAATGAAACAACTAAAACTCTATACAAAATCTCAAAGACTGGTAGTACAAATCATGAACTTCTAAGATTTAGAATTTGCAATGCTGATATGAAATCGATACATCATTTGTTCGGAATATACATAAACAGATTTGCAAATCTAAAGATACCAAGTACAAGTGGCAGTTAATTATAACCGGAACGCAGGTACATCTTCAATGTCAGCTCCCGCCGTACACAACAACATCAACTCCAAAATCTGTACGCAAGATGCAGAAGTGTAGTATGAGTACAACCGACCCCATATACTCAATAAATATCCTAACTAACCTCGGTGAGGTAATAGAAGCAAGAACTATAAATGATAATTGTTGATCACCTGTGCAGTTCATAAAGTTAACAAGTATAGAGCAGATATATGATCAACTCAGGATACCACATGTAAAAACCACCTTGGTGCTTACAATTCTTTGTTTTAAAGTATTCTACTCAGTCAATAATCCAGCATATAAAGAAGATATGCAAGTAAATCAAGTAAACAATCGAGGAAATTACAAGTAAAGATGAAATGCAATAACCAAATATTAGTCTGTTACGGTGCGCAACCAGATCCATATAAAAATACGCCAATAAGTCCTGTTGCGGCGAGCAACCCGATCCAAATAACAATAACCAGATCTCCCAGAGCCCACATCAACCAGAAATCCGTCAGTTTCTCACAATCCGCGTGTACACTATCAAGAGAAAAACATGAGAAGGTGACCCTAGGGGGATAGATCCATATCCACACGTAAGCACATTCAATTCAACGTGTTATTAGCCCGGTGTGGTCACAGGCTCAATATCATAATCTGCCGACGTGGGCACATGCCCAATATAACGAATCTGCCAAGCGTGGTCACATGCTATATTACAATACGCCAGGCATGGTCACAAGCATAACAACACATCCGCCCGGCGTGGTCACGTACATAACAATACACTCCGCCCGGAGTGGTCACATGCATAACAACACAATCCGTCTAGCATGGTCACATGCATAACAACACAATCCTCCCGGCATGGTCACGGGCATAACAATACAATCCGTCCGGCATGTTCACATGCATCCAGTCCAAATCAGAAGGCACAAAAGCAAATATACAAGAATACATGTATATGATGAATGAATATCAGATTTCATAATATCAATTATCAAGTTCATTCAGGAAATTAGTCTCTATGCAATCCTCAAACATGGATTAAATAGTTCACAAAAAGGTTACAAGTATGAGATACATCACAACATAAAGCTTAACAGTCAATTCTAGGCATACTATAGCATAAGCACTACCCAAATATGGATATATCCCCCGGTGCTCAAACATGGGCTCAAACCCCACACATGTACGCACCTATAGCACGTAGTCATCACAAATAACTCAGAAACAAGTGCCTCAACCAAGTTTATATAAGATACTTACCTCAAGTAAGTCAAATCAAATACCAAGCAAGCCAAATAATACTTTAGAAACACATCCTGCGCAAATCAACCTCTAAACGGCTCGAAACTAGCAAAAATTAACTCAAAACATCAAATAACGCCTAGGAAAACAAACCCAAACGATAAAGGTCGAATCTTTAATCAAATACTCAAAGGCAACCAAAAAGTCAAACCCGAAATAGTACCTTGGAACCTGATAAAACTTACTACTTCCGATAACTCATTCAATTACGAGTCCAACCATACTAATTTCACTCAAATCCGACTCCCGATCGATGTTCAAAACTCAAATATTCACTTTAGGAAAGTTTAAACAAAAACCCCCAATTTCTCTTTTAAATCACTAATTAATTACCAAAAATCGAAGTTGGTATCACGAAATATAACCAAAACTGAGTAAAAAAATACTTATCCCAATCCATGTGGTTAAATTGCCTCCAAAATCATCCAAAGCTGAGCTCCATAGCTCAAAATATGATAAAATGAACAAACTCTCGAATTATATAGAATCTGCCTAGCATTTCCAGATATGTGGTCACATTGTCGCATCTGCGAACACCGCTTCTGCGTTACAAAACTCGCACCTGCGAGTCACCCACACCTCATAGGAATCCGACGTGCCTGTGGATATGCATCTGTAGAAAGATAATTGTAGATGCGCAAAACTCAACTCCTAGCCGACTCGCTTCTACGGCCACAGGTCCGCATCTGCGGACTCGCAGTTGCGACAATAACTTCGCACATGCGTTCCCATCTTGCATTCACCATACATCGCATCTGGACCTAAATGGCCGCACCTGCGGCACCACATCTATGGCCATCCAATCACATATGCAAAAACATCAGAGGCATGAATCATCAACAATGAAATAAATCCAAAACATTGTTCGCAACTAATCCAAAACACAGTCGAGGCCCCCGAGACCTCATCCAAACGTTCCAAAAAGTCTCAAAACATAATACGGACCCACTCAAGGCCTCAATATACACATAACAACATCAAAACCACGAATCACATATCAAATCAAACTTAATGGACTTTTGAACTCTTAACTTTCAAAACTCGTCCCGAACCATATCAAATCAACTCGGAATGACTTCAAATTTTTCACACAAGCTCCAAATAACATAACAAACATATTCCAACTCTCGGAATAGCAATCCGAACCCGGTATCAACAAAGTCAACTCCCAGTCAAACCTATGAACTTTCCAAACTTTCAAATTGCCAACTTTCGCTAAATAGTGTCGAAACCTTCTAAAAATATCCAAATACAAATCCGGGCATACGCTTAAGTCCAAAATTACTAACCGGACCTAATGGAACCATCAAAACTCCAATTCGAGGTTAAATACATAAAAGACAAACTTGGTCAACTCTTCCAGCTTAAAGCTTCCCAGTTGAGAATCATTCTTCCAAACCAATCCCGAATCACCTGAAAACAAATACCGATGATTCACACAAGTAATAATACATCATAAGAATCTACCCAAAACTTTAAATAGCTGAATGGAATACAAATGCTCAAAACGACCGTGTGGGTTGTTACATTCTCCACCATTTAAACATATGTTTGTCTTCGAACGTGCCAAGAGTCATTCCAAAGCCATCAAAGCAATATATAAACTCACTGTACACATATCAGTGGGTGATCCCATGTCTCCCCAATCTATATAAGCCTGACAACACAACATAACTGAAGATCTTTACTTTAACCTTAGTCCATAAACCTTAGAGTCAAATCCCCAATCTCCAGAATCCATTACCCGATTCTCACATTTATGCACTTATAAGTTTGAACAATCCGAATCACTACATAACCACGAGCCAAAAGGTAATCACATGATGTGCCATATAACTAAGATACTCATAGGAATAACTCCTAACCATATAATAGTTGCTCAATAACAAACCTGGTACCGATAACAAACCTCATATCAAATAAAACATTGTTCTGAACCTTAGCACAATGCCAATGATGACAGGAACAAGCATAAACTCTTAACCACCTATCAAATCAACAGGTCATGGGGCTCTCTCGTCCGACAAGAACTATAGCCAAATTCTAAGATGATTAGCGACATTATTCTTCCAAACCTACAGGTAATAAAATCCGATAGCACCCATTATAGGTCTAATGACCTCATCTCATCATATTCAAGATGCTATACTGACATGCTACACCAATACATCTCAAGGACACAAACCGTGCAATCTGTGCACCTATAAGAAATAACCCAAATGTACCCAAAAATGGAAAATGACTCCAATGCGAGAACTATTATACAAGCTCAACATATACCACCACAAGCACAATGCTATGAATCCATCACACAAGGGAGAACCAAAGCACCCAAAATCAACACAAAGGATCATATCCCAACATAACTCCGCCACAGTGCGTGACCCAATCCAAACATCGGTCCACCTGAAATACCTCGAGTCCTAATTCTCAAAATAAAAAACACACACAATTCAATATCAAGTACACAAAGTGCATGACCATAACCTTAGAGAAATGGACAGAACAACATACTACAACCCGGAAAGACCATAACCAAGACGCATTCAACCATTCAACACCCCAAGAGTCATTTCGCTCGAATTCCGCTACAAGGCCCAAATAGAACCGCATCATGTGTGCAAATAACCAACAGATCACATCCCATTGTAGCATAGAAGAGTAAAACATAGAACATATCAGAACACGAACAAGCTCAACTCTAACCGAATGACACCTCTCAACAATAACACTGTTGAGTCAGCAAATTTGACCCGGTGTAAAATTCACATCATCATTGGGATTACCAATGCCCCCATCCAAATCAACTCCGATTATACAAAGACAGATAAATAACCCTCCAAAATTCTACAATAACCTAATCATAATATATACTATTAGCTGTCTAAATTTGGCCATACCTTCGCATTCCGCAGCCAAGGAACAATCTGCCTCCAAGAACTCCCAGCCTCCAAATCTCTAGAATACCAGAATTACCATATCTGATCCTA